TCCAATGCTTTAATAAATAGGAAGCGACTCCATCTTGTATAAATTTTTAACATCCGGTGATGTTAATACATTCGAGGTTGTTTTTCCGACCTCTTACGGAAAGACCCGAGATGATGCGATTGCTTTAGGGTATGCTGTAAACTTTTAAGAAATTTTAAAATATTGCACAAAGACGTTGTCAAATTAAAGACTGTTGCGCATAAAGATGATGATTGACAGATTGTTCACATTAAATGTACCGTTTGTATACCCCAGCATGCTAGATCCCCAGTAGTTGTGTGCAGTTTAATATGTTGACGGTGCGACCGTTGGGGCGAGCGCAGTGTTCACTTCATTATTATGATCCTTCTCTTTATCCTCTTCAAACCGCACGAGACATTTGGAACGTCTAGACTGTGACGTCACATGACGTCGTATGTTAGCTGCATTTCCATAAACAAAGTTTAAAAAGTGCAAATATTTTAACAAAGAACGTTTAATCTACTATTTGCATGCAATATCCATTAAATTAAGGTGAGCTTATTTTGTGTGAATTTTTAGTTGTTGTCACCGCGTGAACGAAGTTAGCACCGAGAACAAGAAGCGATGCATTGTGGGTCAGAATTACTGCGGAAAAAAATTCTATTGAATGAATGTGCAGTAGTCCGAATTTTCTCTTCGCCCAGGCGTTGTCGTTAGAGCTCGCAGTGACGAGCGGCGCTTCGCGCCGCTCGCTGCGCTCGCTATTATACTAAGTATGTAATAAACATTAATATACATATCCTTTTCCATATCAGACCCTGTATCAGCCCTCGACCAGTATAAGCCCTCGGTCCTTCGGCCCTATGGCTTATATTGGTGTCTCGGGCTGATACAGGGTCTGATATGGAAAAGGTGTGTATTATTCTCTAAGATAATGAAATGTATGGAAGTTAAAAGGTTCTTTAAGTCATTTAGGTATATATCCATTACTTGAAGAAACATCGATTTAACGCAATTGTGGTAATACATTTTGCTAAACATTCATATGACTATTAGACATATTCTGTTTTTGCCTGTGTTTTTCCTTCAACTACTGCATATAAAAGCAATTTTCCGATTTCACAAGCTTTGAATGTTTAGAATTCTGACTAATTGATGGTTGTCTTTAAGGTGCTGTTGTGCCTGAATTGATCTTTTAGGATTGATCTTGTCGTTACCAAACTAATTAAAATCAGACTTCTTAGATTCACCCTGTACTGTACATGTACATGTATATTACTCTTCGTAACACAGAGTGCATGTATACGGCGCGGATCGAAGGCTGATTGTGATTAGATTGCTATCGGTACAGGAAGATTCGGAGAAAATCTTGAGATCACTTTGCTTCAGAAGCAGGATTTCACCTACATTTTCTGCATGAATGACGAGGTTAAAGTGTTTGGAGCAGGTTCATTCTTAACTAACTATATAAGCCCTATGTTGACCAAACTTGCATAAATGATATATCTAAGGATGCACCCTACTGGACTTGCTTCAGAAGCTGGATTTGACGGACAATTTTGGATGAGTGAACAGGTTAAAGTTCTTTGGAGCAGGGTCATTCCAAAGTGACTATAAGCCCTGTGATAACCAACTTTGCATTGAAGATACATTTATTGACTTTGCCTTACATAAATATAACATTCGTTGAGGTGAGCTCTGTAATCTCTGATAATCTATATGTTAAATTCGTTATAACGAATTTAATTCGTTATAGCAAATTTTCAGAATTCGTTAAAACGAATTCAAAATTTTCTTATAACGAATTAAAATCGTTTAGACGAATTTCAAAATGTGTTATAACGAATTAAATTCCTTTTAGCGAATCCAAAATTCAATAAATAATTTTCTATGGGCTCTAATTGTCGACGCTTCCGTACGTATCAGATTTTAACAACGTTACATGTAACTAAAAACTAGTGAAGCCTGTTTAGAACCTACCAAAATATTTTTTTAATTCGACATAACGAATTGTCGAATTTGTTAGAACGATTTAGATTCGTTATAACATTTTTTTTAATTCGTTATAACGAATCAAATTTGTTATATCAAATTTGTTGAATTCGTTATAAGGAATTCAAAAAGTTGTTACAACAGATTAAAATCGTTTAAACGAATTCTAAAATTTGTAATGACGAATTTATTTCGTTATAATGTTTTATTGCCTGACGCCACGTGCGTCAGGCAGTATAAGGATTAACATTTCAGGGATCCGAAACTAAGCGATCATTCTTAATGAACTAGATTTTGTGCAAGCTGATTTACATCGGAATTTGTTACCTGCATTTAAACAAATACAGTTTGCAGAAGAAAGAATCATATAACTCATGCAAAATAATGATGTGTTTAATTCCTTCAGTTCTTTTGCATGCAAATGTTTATTCTTTGCGATTCTTTGTACGGACATGTCCGTGTAGCATTTTTTCTGCGTTTCTAAACTACTGGATCAGTCCATTTGCCTTCTACGAAAGGGGGGACACAATGATTTCGCGCCAAATGTCACATGTAAATTATCTTCGCGCCTTTTTCTTGGGTTGTTCTATTGAATGGGTGTGATAACTTCTATGGAAATAAATAAAGTTTATTCTTTTAACATGATTCTTAAGCTCCAGATTTTTTATTAACAGTAAATTTTATCTCATTTTATAAGAGAACACATTGTACATGGACAGGCAACACTAAAGCAGGGACCTAATATATACTAGTTAGTATACAGGTCCCCGACTACAGCAATGGATTTGCTGATTATTCTTACTATTTATCCTATAAGTGGACTAGTCTAATCATAAACAAACTCCCTCCACCCAGTAAATTGGACATCCCTTCTTGATTCAGTCTGTTTTCCACCTAGCCTTTCTTTCAATATTACTTTTATTAATAATGTACGTTACAAGGTTAGGTTTTTTAAAAAAAAAAGCTTAGAAAGTCAGCGAGTAGCATATTATTTCATGCTTTGTGATGAACAAGGGTTTCCTTTTAATACAATGACAAGAGTGTAGGTCAGTACCCGTAGAGGAATGGGCTTCACTCCCGTAAAGTTCTAAGTAAAGAATCGGCAAAATGAAGAAGACATCATGATCTGTACTGGTTTTCATTTCTTAAAAAAGGACGTTACTGTAAATATGAGAAAGGTCCTGAAATCGATTGAAAAGAAAAACTAAACAATTTCAAAACTGTATATAAAGATGTATTTTAAACTCATTTATAATACATGTACATGTATATGGTAAGACCGTCATCGCGTGAGTTTTGTCCGGGGGGGGGGGGTGTTTTTAGTATCATTCTTGTTTTGCGCTAGCTATAAAATTTACAGGTCATTTACTTTGATTTCTAGAGCAGCATTGAAGCATTTTTGTCTCAAACACTTCAATACAACTTTCCCAGTTAAAACTTACTTCGTCGTCGAGAACGACGGAAACAGACGAGTCTATAAATAAACGCCGTCTCATCAATTTATCACTGACCAGGGAGTGTGCATGAAGAAGTGCGCCCTCTAGTAAGAGAGTACATGTAATATGAATTTCTTTAAAACGAATCATCTAACTATTTTCCTCAGAATTATCAATGGCGGATCCAGGAATTTTATAACGGGAGAGCGCAATAGAAGGCAGGGGGTCGGGGGGGGGGGTATTGAAACCCCAGTGGGTCCGGGGCAAAGCCCTGATGGGGTTTCGGGGGCAAAGCCCCCGGAAGCTGACGAATTCTTACAAATAAGGTGTTTTTTCCTTGATTTTAAGATAATAAACATATAAGTTCTACATACAAACAATTCAAACGGCCGGGGGGGGGGGGGGCGTACGCCCGGCGCGCCGGTGCTGGATCCGCCTTTGAATTTTAATCTACGCTAGCGCAGTTGCAGTTTCATCCCAACGTAACTAGTCAGCCCGTGGGCTAACTAATAAATGACCAAACAGTGACATGTCTTAGATATTCGTTAATCTGTAGTATTTGGTTATGACATTTGAGAAAGTCAATTGTACATCTTGTGTAATGAAGTATCGCAACTATTTCGCTCCTTGATGACGGAAACGTTTAGCACCTCTCTTGCATATACGTTCCATAGATATTGATTGATTAGTCAGGCAAGCTTTTTGTAAAGCTAATACTTGTAACGAATTAAAGTCGTTTAACCAAATTCGTCAATTAGGGCCTATAGAAAAATACTTATGAATTCGATATAACGAATTGTCGAATTCGTTTAAACGAATTTAATTATTTGCATGTATAACAAATTTAAAAAAAAGATCGTTTAAACGAATTAAATTCGTTATAACAATTTTTGAATTTCGTTTAACGAATTCAGCAAATCTGTAATAAAATATTTAATTCGATATAACGAATTTAAAAAAAAATATGTTTTAACGAATTAAATTCGTTTTAATAAATTTGACAATTCGTTATATTTAATTCAAAATTATTTTTTGATAGTTCCTATATGGGCAGTTTTTTTTAATTTGACCCCTCAAAATCGACGTAATTCGGATGCAAACTTTTGCCACTTTTAATTTATCACTATTTACATGCAGTTGTGTCAAAATATAAAGATATATAACTAGACTCGAAATTTACAGGTTGAAAAGTTATTTGAAAAAGAAATGCATTTAAAGAAAAATATTACCTCCCCTCAATCCCCCCAAAAAGAGTCTGTACAATTTATTTATTTATTTATTTATTTATCATGCCAAGTCGGTAAATTAAAGTCGTGCATCTTGACTTTGACCTTGATACACCATTATAATACATGTGTATTATACAAATGATCAAACGAATAAACACACACACACACAGAGAGAGAGAGAGAGAGAGAGAGAGATTTCATATCGTCAAAGAGTGATGCTTCTAGATCCAGATTGTATATCATATTGTTGTAGAACAATGCTTATGTGTAGGTTTGTTTCGCAAGCAAAATAATTTTTACAATCCCCTAGTCTTAAATTATACATGTATACCATACTTCCTTTTGCTAAATATAAATTTCATTCAAAATGTCTTCCAGTGGCCAGGTTTTTACGCACTCTTCTTATGGTTTGTATCATATCTGCCAAAGTGAAGGAGATCGATAATATGTGGGCCATTTTAGCGTACTGCAGCAGACTGGAAAAGATAATTATTTAACCATGGCAAATGTAAGTTTTGATTTTATTCTATGCCTTTTACAAAATAGTGCTGCTGTTGGTTTTACATTGAGGGAAAAGAAAGTGATTTACAATTATATACTTACAATTCTAAGTATCGATGGCCAATGTTGAATATTTCAACGATAATTTATGAATATCTTGGACGAAATTCAATATTTTGACACAGGGCATTGTGTATCAACTTCTCATGAATTTCTAATCTATGTATCAAAATTGCTTAATATACCTTAATTTCAATTTATTGAAACAAAAGATAAATGTAGACTTCTGTATATTAAGGTGGTCATCTAAAAGGGAGTATAATAATTTTTTTTTACAGTCAAATCATCATTCGTTTAGTACAGTCTATACCTGTTGACAAATATCCAATTTAGCAACGTACTATCTGACCCCATTAAACAGATTTGTTTGTATACAAGCCTTTAAAACTTCTATGCATTATAATATAAAACGAAAGTAGAACGAATTGTTGATATAAACAATCGTCCATAGACTTTCATACAAAACGAAGATCTCTCGCCGTAGCCAGGAAAAATATATCGAGCACTATATTTTAAAAATGGAATTAAAGTGGCACCTTGGCTTTCGAACTACAATATATTAATAGCGAAGATAAAGAACAGTGATTAATATCATAAATCCTGTACACAAAGCGAATTGTGAACGGGTCGAAAAAAAAGAGGTGGGATCAGGTGCCTAGGAGGAGAAATCATCTCCATTTGACAGGCCAAACCTGTCATGAGCCTTATACGTATGTATTTGATCAGGGTATAAGGCATATTTCGCAGTCAGATTTAGAATAAAATCAATTACTTAACAAATGGTATGAATCATGTCAGACCAAAAAAAGACCCAATGGTATTTACAAACAAGGTTTATTATAATGACCCTAGAATTTGCAAAAAGATGGACATTAAACGGGGTTGTTGATATCCTTGTAACATCAACTTATTTGTAAATAGTTTGCCTCGGTTTATAAACTGTTCGTACTCGAAGCACGCTCTTGAGTACACACCATATGAAGGTGATGTTGGAATATTACTATATAAACAAGAGGCCCATGAGCCACAACACTCACTTGAGTTACTTTAGCCTTACTGTTCTTAAGAGATTTTCCAATGTAAAAAGACATATATTCCTTGGAAAAATTGTGACCCCATATTATATGGCCCCAAACTCTTGTAGGTCTCTGAATACTCACATCATCGGGATGCCTCAATATCAATATGATAAACATGGCGTTGCAATAGCAATAGTTATTTCCATTCATATGTAGACAAATATTCCAGTGAGCTTGAAATAAAAGATACCACAGAGTCTGACCCATCTGTTTCATATGTGGATTTTTTTTACTAGAAAAGACGTTACTGGTAATCTAACAACAAAGCTTTATGATAAACGTGATGGCTTTAACTTTTCAATCGTCAGCTTCCCTTACTTATGCAGCAATATACCCTTATCACCTACATATGGGGTGTCTCAGTTGATTCGATACTCAAGAGCATACTCTACGTATGAACAATTTCTAAATCAAGATAAGTTATTGATAAAAATCAATTTTGATGAAACAAGAATATCAACAGTCTCGTTTAAAGTCATCATTTCGTAAGTTCTATGGTCGATACAATGACCTTGTCAGCAAGTACAATCTATCATTAAGTCATATGCTGAATGACGCTTTTCATACTTATTGCTAGTACATTATTTACACACTGAATTTTCTACAGATTTTTCCGTTATTTCCCGATCATGACAAGGAGCACACGGCGGTTGTGACCGGTCGGCAGGGATGCTCACTCCTCAATGGTACCTGATCCTACCTCTGATTTTTTTAGGGGGCCGTGTTTGCTCTGCTCACAATTTGTATTGTTTTAATGGACTTTGAGCTTGAATACTTTTTGCCATATTTCATTCTACATTATGTTTAGAAGCTTCCATATGAGTTTTAATAGCTTTAGTCAGTGGTTCTTGAATAAAAGATTTTTAAGGATTCTTCTTATATATTTCATCATAAAACTTCGATCCCCTATTGCGGCACCCACCTTACCCCCTGGGGTCATGATGTGAACAAATAAGAGAATCTAACATATTTGCATATGTTAACATGCGGGATAAATATGTAGACATGCGACTTATTTATGTTAAAATGCGAGATAATTATGTAGACATGCAACTTATTTATGTCAACATGCAAGATAATTATGCAGACATGCATTTTTTTATGTCAATATGCAAGATAATTATGTTGTCATGCGAGTTAATTATGTCAGCGTGCGAGATATTTATGTTGATATGCAACTTATAATCCTGCATGTTGACATAAATATCTTGCGTGTTAAAATATAAATCGCATGTTGATATAAATAAGTCGCATGTTGACATAAATAAGTTGCATGTTAACATAATTATCTTGCATGTTGACATAAATAAGTCGCATGTCTACATTATTATGTTGCATGTTAACGTAAATAAATCGCATGTTGATATAAATATCTTGCATGTTAGCAAAATTATCTTGCATGTTAACATAAACAAGCATTCTGAGTATTGCATTCGCAATACTAGTCCCCTACCGGCAAGTGTAATCTGGTTCCCGTTAAGAATTGAAAATGCCATAATTCCGTCAAAAATCAATGAAGCGGGACGAAATGCAAACTTGATCTATAACTAATGAAGGTAAAGTCACATACCAAAAATCAGCTCAATATCTAAAAGTGTTTAGAAGAAAATTGCGGAAAACCCTGAAAAATTGAGGAGGTCGTAATCCTGCCAAAAATCAGTGAAGCGGAACGAAATGCAAACTTGCTCTGTAACTCATCAAGATACACTCACATACCAAAAATCAGCTCAATATCTGCAAGCGTTTAGGAAAAAAGTGCGGAAAACCAAGTGGGACAGACTGACAGACAGACAGAGGGACAGACGGACAGACAGACAGACAGACGGACGGACAGACTCAGAGGAAACCTATAGTCCCCTCCGGTTTCACCGGTAGGGGACTAATAATCGCATACCAATATAGTTATTTTGCATGTATGATGTCAGATACTGGCGTTAGTGAATAAATTTACCCGTATTAAAATTAATTTCTCTAATAAGATTGGTCATTTGCATGTCAACATAATATTCTTGCATGTAGACATAATTATCTTGCATGTTGACATATTTTTCTTGCATGTTGACATAATTTAAGTTGCATGTAGGGGGCAGTAATATGCCACCATAGTCATATAATTTGTCAGTCTAGATACGTGTATTATGAATATGGAAATGAATATGAAGTTTTGGCTACAAATCACAAAACAGTTACACGTACTTGTAAATAATAAAGGAACAAATGTATGTATTACTTAGAATTACAAGAAACACCATGAAAGAAATATTTCTCTCAAGGGATAAGGGCGCACTTCCGCTTTGGAAGTTAATTACGTGTATAAAGAAAACATATTTTTTTTACCATGTAACTGTAAAATAATTGCATCTCAAATTAAATACACTCAAGAGTTCCTTAGAAGTAATAACATATTATTATGGATTAAAGATGAAGCAGTTAGTGTATAGTAAACACAGTAGTAAGTTGCATCATGAGTGGTGCGCATATGGTTACATTTGCCAGATGCTTCAAATGGATTATTATTCATTAACGTAACTTACATAGAACATGACAGCATTTTTTATTTCTTTTCGAATCTGTGTACAAAAGTTATACCTTTTATATACTTTTTATACATAACTCTTGCTTTTGGTAACGATACCACCTTCGTTACAATAGTTGCACTGTATATTAACCAAATTTCTTCATGTGTATGGTGTATAATTTAATTTTTTCATGAATACTAGTTTGATTTGATTAATTTTCTTCTATAATAACAACCATTTAAGCATCAGCACAGCCCGCCTGCTTATAACCTTCATACAGAAAATATCAATTTTTAGATCAGCTCAACATTTCTACAACTTAAGAAAGACCTTCAAATTAGAAAGTACAGCTGTGTTAACAAATCTATACATTATTTGATTCTGAGAGTGTACACATTAAATACTCTTGCTTTACAATGCCCTGGGTTCAATTAATCCAATTGAAATTTCTTTGTCATACATTTAACAATTCTTAGAGTTGCCTATCTATATCAAAATACATGTTAGGTTATGTATTCCAAAATATCTAATAACATGAAGCTTTTGTCTTTTAGGGAGAAAGTCATAGGAAATATCCTCTTATGAGAAGTGCTTCATTTGATCCCTCTGACTTACAAAGACCCCCGTCTATTCATTCTATTCGTAGCCACAAGCTTTTACAATCATTGTCCCTCCCCGGTACTGATCCAGCGAGCACAATCACCGAGGAGGATAATATTAGCTTTGAATCAAATCAAGACAAATATACAGCGGGCAGATCAGACTGTTCACAAGATAATTTTATCACTATTTCGAAAGATCCAGAGAAAGATTTCAAAGAGAGTCCAGCTGAGCCATTCCTCCGAAACAACGAGAGCAAACTTCTGAATGAGGACCAAGAATCGGATGCATCTGAAGAAGCATCAGACGACATATCTGAAGAAGGAGGGTGTATAGAATGTGTTAAAGCAATCCCAGTATTTCTGGCCAATGAAATAGAAAAGGGTGACCATATCGTTTTTGCTGGGGCATTGTATGACCATCATGGAATTGTTGTTGAGAAGTTTAAAGAAAACGAAAGAAAATTTGGGATAGTAGAAGCGACAAACACTATATCGAAGGCGGCTGCAGGAATTGTATTCGGAGGAAAAGCAAAAATTGTTAATACAATAAAAGTTTTCAATTTTGAAACCGACAACATCCGCATTGTAGAATATCGAAATCCCAAATTTTCCAAACCAGAAATTGTTAGTCGTGCTATGAAGTTTTTGAGTACAGCATCCAAGGCCAAGAAGTTTAAGTACCATCTGTTTGCAAATAATTGTGAGCATTTCGCTACCTACTGCGTCACCGGAAAAAGATTCAGTGTTCAAGTTCGGAAAGTTAGGATGATAGCAAAGATGTTCTTTTCTAGTGGTTTTCGGGGGATCAGTGATGAAAAACTCCGAAATGAAAAAGAATTTGAATGTCAAATTATATGTCAACAATGCTTTGAAGTCAATAAAAAGCTTCTTAGTGCCAGTGTTACTCCTATAAAGCAAAGCGATGACGTCAATTTTGGTGACATCATCAGATACAGTTACTGGAACCTCTGGCATGACGCAGTTGTTCTCAAAATTTCCAAGAAAGAGAAGAAATATCTTATTTGTGAAATTGCTCATTATTGTTTTCATGGCCCCTTTTCTCATAGAGAAATTATTAGAGAAGAATTAAAAGTTAGCTTTAATGGCGAGTTCAGTGTTGTACACTATGATCCACCACTGTATGATGTATATGACCCCGACACCGTAGTCGAACGAGCAAAGGATAGAATTGGAGAGAAACTCTTTGTGCACTTTTCCAACGATTCTAGTCACTTTGCTCGCTGGTGTAAGCTCAAGCTAACCAAATCATCAGAGGCTGACGTCCCAACATTTTACTGTGACCGAGATGTTTAAGTCAGAAAAAAAAAACATGCTTGAAAATGATCTTGATCATATGTGTAATTTACTCAGAAGAACAGTAAATTGCAGACGCATCTATGACATGAAAATAGTTTCGAATTTTAAATCATATTATGACAACATTCATACGAAATTGTGCAAGATGACTCAGTAGTTTATTATCTACTTGTGTTCTCATATTACTACATTTTGTAAAATTGTGAATGTTTATTATACGACTTATCTACAGTTCTTTCTATTTTTCAAATGTACATGTAACTTCAGTATGAAGATCAAGGATATAAAATGATTAAATCTGTAATTTTTCACACACCTCAGCAAATTCAAGAATCACACTCAGCTCTGCAAAAAATTTGAAGATTATTCAGGATGCAGGTTTCTTTGTTCAAGTAACGAAGTACTGAAATGAGTACTGTACTTCATTTATTCAATTGGAAAATAATCCTTTTCCAATATTTTCCATTTTTTTTAAAACAAATTCCTTAGTATATCATAATCATTAAATGTAAGTACTTTCTCTTAAGAAAGACCTTTTAAAAAGAATTGTCTCATCCAAAGATATAAAAAGAAGAGGCCCATGGGCTACATCGCTCACCTGAGCACACTGGCTAGGAAAAAGCAGAAATATGTTCAGTATATTGAAAAGTTTTAAGGGGGGGGGGGGCAAACTTTAATTTACACACCTCAGGATGCTTCTATATCAATATTACTAATCATGGCTTTGCTGTTCTTAAACAGAAGAATTTTAAAGATTTTTTTCCTAGGTATTCCTATGTAAAACTTTGATTGGTCATTGTGGCCCCACTCTACCTACCGTAAATTTGAACAAATTTGAATCTACACTACCTTTGGATGCTCCTCTAATGATATGACTAATCATGGCTTTGCTGTTCTTGAGCAGCAGATTTTTTCAAGATGATTCCTATATATTCTTATGCAAAATTAAACTTTGACCCTCTGTTGTGTCCAAACCCCTGGTGGGGTCTTGATTTGCACAAACTTGATTCTACAATACCTAAGGTTGCTTCTGTATATATATGACTAATAATGGCTTAGTTTTCTTAAAAAGAAGATTTCAAAGATATTTCCTATGTAACGTGTATGATCAGATTCTTACAATAAATATATAGGTTTTCCTTTTACTTTGTCTGAGTTAATGATTGGACAGCTATGTCTGAGGATATATCACATAGTACTTAAATTTTCTCTTTTCATCTAGAGATGGGGACTGGGTAAGGTGCTACTTGCACCGTGTTTCTCCTCTAGGTTCCCATTGATAGATAAGAACCAGTTGTCTCAATCTTCTTCAGATTTACTACACCCAGAACTTATGTACTTAACAAAGATTGAAATCTATGGAGCAATTTTTAAAAAATAAAAATTCAAATAATAAGAATATCAATAAATACAGTAGTGAAAAAATGCACTAAAACACATTAGAAATAGAATGACAATTGAAAATGATTTTTTTTACCAGGTAAGATTTTTAAAATTGATTTTTTTTTATTAATTAAAAACAGAGGGAGATAACTCTTACCAAAATTCAAGGTCATAAATTAGGACACATCCCACCCTCACATGCTAATAGTAATAAATGGGAATTATATCTAAATACACTGAGAATTCAACACCTACACATCTGTAATGTATTTAATTTCATTGAATCTTTTGCTATTAGGATAGAATATCTTAACTTCTTTATTGCTGATTCATCATCCAACTTCTTCAGCTACCTTCTGAATGCCTGACTTTCCCAACGCTTTGCCCTATATACCCTTAGACTAGTCTATTCCAAGGGTTATCAGGTCATTTCACTATTTTGAAGTCTTCAATGCGTTTTACTCCAATGCCCCTTAAGCATTACACCTATATATTCATCTGTAAACCTTGACCCACTGTTGTGGCCCGCCCTACCCCAAGGGGTCATAATTTGAAGAAACTTGAAAATCTACACTACCTGAGGATACTTCTGTATTAATATGTCTAATATTGGCTTCGCTGTTCATGAGAATATGATTTTTAAAGATATTTCCTATATATTCCTATGGTAAACTTTGACACCCCTTTTGTAGCCCTGCCCTACACCCACGGGTCATGATTGGAACAAACTTGAATCTACACTACCTGAGAATACTTCTGTAATAATATGACTTATCGTGGCTGTTCTTGAGAATATTTTTAAGGACATTTCCTTTATATTCCTATGGTAAACTTTGACCCCCCTGTTGTGGTCCTACCCCACCCACAGGGGTCATGGTTGGAACAAACTTGAATCTGCACTACCTGAGGATACTTCTGTTTTGTTTTGAACATATTTTATTGACAATATGTCGAAGGGATGGGACACAAGTTTTAAAAACTTAGATAGTCCTCTCCCATACTTCTGTAATAATATGACTAATAATGGCTTTGCTGTTCTTGAGAAGAAGATTTTTAAAGATATTTCTTATATATTCTTATGAAAAAATTTGACCCCCTCTTGTGGCCCCGCCCTACCCCCAGGGGTTATATTATATGAACAAATTTAAATCTAGAGTATGTAATAAAGCTTTCACGTAAGTTTCATCTTTTCTTGCCCAGTGGTTCTTGAGAAGATGATTTTTAAAAGATGCCACCAAATTTTCACGAATTCTTAATTATCTCACCTTGAAAGAGGGCGCGGCACTTCCTGTGAACAAACTTGAATTCTCTTCATCCAAGGATGCTTTGTGGCAAGTTTGGTTTAAATTGGCCCAGTGGTTCTTGAGAAGAAGTCGAAAATGTGAAAAGTTTACAGACAACATACGACAGACGGACGCTGGACACTCTTTGATCAGAAAAGCTCACTCGAGCCTTCCGTATTTTGAATACTCTTTTTCTTTACCTATGGACATCTAGAAGACACACTATTTGCATGATAATGATTGGTAGATTACTAAACTTCCGAAATTCATGCTCTCTTTGACCATGGTTTAGGTCGTAGGGTGTGCTTAGCTTAATATGCGTAGAAAATCTTCTTCGTTACTCATGGACTTGACAAACCGTTTAGTTGTACATGATTTTAATGTACACTAAGCCCTTTGCCTTTGATTTATTGACTAGTGGAAACAATACTTTAAAACAACTTTTAGAAAAACGATGTAAGATTTATTTTGTTTATTTATTTTTTTTTTTTAAATGTCATAATGGTCTTCTTTTTCAATTGGAGTCGTATGAAATTTAATTTATGTTACCTTATTAAAAATGGATTGAGAATTATCTGGATAAAACGATGAGCATTTGAAAAAATCTGATTATTGTTTGATAAAATGTCGACGTTGAAGGGAAGTTGATGCTTCTGATATTGATAAAAAAAAAACATCAGGAAAATGTACGCGTCTGCTGACTTCAAAATGTTATTTTGTTAAGTTATAATTTTAAAACTCTGTGTGTTCAGTATATAGAAAAGCAGCTGTTTTACCACATGAAGACATCGGAATCAAACCTATAGCTTGTTTGATAAGACTTTTCAACGAAAATATATAGCACGAGTTAGTGATGGGACATCGGTTATTTTTCATAATCGATCATCGGTTGGGATCGGTTACAATTATTTCATATTATTTCTATAACATGAATATATAAAATATATAATATATTGTTTTCTTTGTTGTTTTTACTCATGTCACACTTTCTATATACAGGGTTTAGATTTAACTAAAATTTCCACTAGCCATGTGGGCTCCTAAAGTTTCAAATTTAGGCTAGAAGCTTTTTTTTAACCCTTTGAATACATCACTAGGACAATTTAAGTAGATACTAATTAAATATAATATACATTTGTTTAAAATGAAAATTGAAGTTCTTACTTTCGCATAAATATTTCATCATAGGAAATAAAACTGAATTCAATTAACAATTTTACTATCCTTTTTTGCAAGGTTATATACGTAATCCCCTTTTCCAGGTCATTGGACTATATACTTAGTTGCCTACTGATGAAGTGCATGACACCGACACATGAATAAGATTTTTTTTAGTTTACTTTTGAAACGTATCTGAATTAAGTAGACACCTAATAAAACTTCCATTTAGTATGACTGAGTAATTGGAAATAATTTAATTGGATATCTACCACGTATAAAGGATACACAGAGGAATGGAGAAAATTCGGATAAGAAAAAAAGACGATCGTTTTAGGGATTTTTACAAATCATATAGTACTGGTAAATGGATTAGATGAAGGATATTTACGAACAATAGAAACATGTTACTTTTATTTATTCAATTGATTGGAAGTTTTAAAGCAAAAAACATGGGGAAAACGTCTGTTTTCAGTAAGGGGACTGGAATGGTCCTGCAGATTTTTAATTCACCACGTGGGCGAACGAGTTATAAATTTTATAAGCCCGCACCAAATTTTACTCGCGGTTCCTAAACACCTCTGCTTCGTGCTAGTTGGCTAGTATCAGAAGCAGACGCCATTTTCTTTCATTAAGAAGAAATAAATTTTAAACCAGAAATGGATAATTCTGAAATGTACTTTATTAGAAGTATGTTTCCGATGATCGATTATGAAAAATTATAATCGATCATTGGAATCGGTAGCATTTTTTCGTCGACAATCGATGTTTTCTGATTATCGGTACAACACTAGCACGAGTGTCAACAAAATCCTGCCATTTTTGACAGACTTTTACACCGCCACGAAACCAGCTGAGAACTCAGTTATTACAGCATATGATAAAGGCACATGTAGGTTTAAATAAACTTTTTGCATACTGGTATTAATCTCTGGTAACGTGCTTCCAATATGCTGTATAAAATTTTCTCCAACTTTTCCTCAATAAAATTTTACTTCTTTTATACATCACTTCAAGGTCAGTATTCTAAACACACACGATTATGACGTCATTTTAGGAGTTGTGATCTTAAGATACATGCTTATTTTTCAGATGTTTTAAATGATATCAAACCATCAACTTCCCTGAAACGATTTACATTTTATCAATTCAATATACTTTTCAAATTCCCCTCCTAGAGTCAAATACTAACTTCTGATGGGTTATATTCAAATTTTTAACTTTTATCTGCAAGTGTGCGACATGGTTATGTTCTATTCCTTTCTTATTCCTCTTTTTATATTGATGACATAACAGATAATTTAGTTAACAATATAAGGCTGTTGGCTAATGATACAAATTCCCTGTTCATAGTTGTAGATAATGTTGATGCATCAGTCATCTCTCTAACAGATGATTTAGATAAGATTTATAAATGGATGATGCCAAATGGTCATCTAAAATATAAAACAT